TGCCTTGGGAAAGCTAGCTTGTCTCCGACATAGTGATAACAATCATTGCCTTCTCTAGTGCAGCTTAACCAGGTCTCGTCCCATTCGTCGATATTTGTGATATCACAAATCCCGGAGAATATGCGCTGTAGTGCAAATGAGTCGCTCGTTGTAGTTTTTGAAAAGTTAAATAAAATATCTCCTTTTGAAGTGGACTTTGAGCTTTGTAACTTTGCAGATCTTTTTTATGCTCAAACAGCAACATTACAGACTAACTAAAGTTGAATAAGTGAAAAAGCATAATAGGACCCCTTTAACAGAAATCACTTTTCAAAAACTACGAGTTTTGTTTCCAAAGTAATTCGACGAGAAAAAAAAAAACAGCGAAAACAATGAGGAAACAACGTTATTACGTCCATCAAATGAGACCTCAGCTAGTCTCTGACGAAAATGTACCATGTTTTTACTACAATATAGTTTAATGATAGCATTTGTAATTAAACCATAGTAGCCACAAATTTACCTTTGTCTGTGACTCCATGAAATATACTTTATCATCATAAACCATAAAATGTAATACACTTTTACTGTAATAAAACCATGGTTCATTTTCATAGGTAAGCATGGGTCACAAGTTAACACGGGCACATTCTCGATGTAGCCAACTGAATAAAATTCTGACTTCAATCCAAAAATCTGCAGCTGAATCAGTGAAGTCAGATAGCTCTGTGCGTACGTTACTGTCGTCACACAAAGCACCTCTTTTTAGCGCGCATTCAAAACCTGTGTCAAGCAGACTTTTTAATTTATTTTCCGTCCTTCAGCCGTTACGGGCGATCATACCAATAAATTGTAATGATGTCACATGGACAATTTTAACGATGTCCTTACTACGTTTCTGTGCCTTGAATGTGGTAGGACCCTTGCTGTCTATACAGGGTCAGAAAGCTCTCGGATTTCATCAAAAATATCTTAATTTGTGTTCCGATGATTAACGAAGGTCTTGGAACAACATGAGGGTGAGTAATTAATGGGAGCGTTTATTTTTCTTTATGTTCTGATTGAGCTACATCTATTTCAGACGCACAAATTCTGTGGTGTTTTATCAGTTTCTATAGGAGTAAAATGTTATGTATATATTATTAATTTCAGTGGTGGACGAAGTACACAAATCAAGTACTTGAGTAAAAGTACAGATCCGTATAATAAAATATTACTCCAGTAAAAGTACACAGTTTTCAATTTTACTCGAGTGAAATTACAAAAGTACTTGATTTTTTTTGTACTTAAAAAAAAGTACCGATAGATGAATGATTATTTTGCAGTTTTATATAGGCTACTTTTATCATTTAATTTTATATTAGCATATATTTTTTTATAATCCTACTGCTCAAAATACCTGGGATTTTCCCAAAATAACCAATAAGGAAATAATGAATATAATAAGGAAAATATAGTTAGATTTTCATAATGATTTTTTTCTTCTCAAACCTTGTCTGTGGTCTAAAAACACCCCTGGCCAAATGCCCCCAAAGGGCTTCACTTCCCACTTTGATAATTACTGTAGTTACCATGTTCTGAACATCACATCCTTTCTTTTTCTCTCAGATGTAATCTATCTAGGTGGTTGAATAAAAATAGTTGGACTTTATTTTTTAAAAATGACCTCAATTTAGCACCAGCAAGCTCGTTAGCTAGACAGTTAGCATCAGCTAACATTACTGACTTATTTTCAGCATGGTTATGAATAAACATTTATATTTGTCTACTCGGCTAGTTGATCCACATACATAGTAACTTAGGCTATGTGTGCTGACAAACAATATAATACAGACGTCACATAGGGCTAAATGCATAGCATTTTAGTAAAACTGCTAACATTACAGCAGCGGG